CGCAGAATGTGTATCAGTATCTGACAGCTAGAACTCTTTCATTTTTATCATAATTAAATTATAGGGCTATACGGACTCGAACCGTAGACCTTCTCCACAAAATAGATCAAACTTCTTTCTTGAGCCAAAGTGAGAGCATGGAAAGACGAAAATATGGCCTATTCGACTATTTATGCATAGTAAGTTGACCTCCACGTGTCCCAACAAACCATTGAGAAGAGGTTGGACAAAAGTAGGATCCATAAAGAATTGGTTTGGATCGTGTAAAGCCGAATTGGTGTTAATGTACTTCTTTATAAGTACCATTTTTAACTTATATTTTTAGAAGCTATAGCTTTTGTGATGTGGTGGTAGTATTTAAAAGAGCAAAAATGTAGTTTAGAGTTTTTCAAGATTTTGTCATATAAATAGCAAAATTAAAAGGTAAATAATATTTTTAAAATCTCAGAAGTACCCAGTAATGTTAAGAGAAATCTCAGAAGAGGTTTCTGATATTGCCCTCTCAAACTATAGAGCACAAACTAGCAATCAAGTGAAGTCAATTTGTTATGCCAGTAGCTTGAACAATGCTCGATCTAGACTCCAAATTTTCTAATCTTAAGTGTCAAATTCAAAGCCATCCGATATTGACACTTCTATGCAACCAATAGAACAAGAAAAGCCGTTTTTCAATTAATTATCTAAAGATTTGAAGGTCATTTACGTGTTTGTGTAGTTTGAGAGTGTACAGGTCACCATTAGAATCAAATGCATGCGTGCAATATATGCTGGCGTGGTGTTTTAAGTCGGGAGGTCTAGTGACCGAATATGTTCCCAAAAATATATTCGCTTGGCCAAATTTCCAAGCTCACACCCATTTTATATATATACATATATATATATATATAGTAAATCTTATATACATTGACAGTGTATACACTATCACCGTTTGATTCATGACATGCGTGCAAAAATTGAATTTCAAATTTAAATTTTGCATAATTATCATTCATCCAACGTTGATAGTGTATACACTGTCAGTGTAGAAAAAATTAATCCATACAGGTGTACTATCACACTGATCCTTGTGTGAGTTTTGCGGAGGACTTGAAAGGTTTTTCTGTCGTATTAAGCAAATTGTATACTGGCTAGCCTTACTTTGTCTGTTTGTTTGTGTCAAACAGAATTACAGATTCCTTAATTCTTCCATAACAGCAATAGATTAGGCAAAGTTTAACAAGTACATTGGAAAGCAGAATCAGCAAAGCATTTGAATCTTCACTACTCCTGTATAGTTTCTTTGTCAAATTAAGTTTATAACTGAATTGTAAATAGTATTCATACTCAATTGTAAGAAACGCCTTTTTTTCTTTTTCTTTTTTCATGAGGTTTTTGTGGGGTTGACCTAAAACGTCAAGCTTAGGAGTCTTAGCATATGTTAGCATAGAAAGTGGAATACTTAGTGGGGTTGGAGTTCAATATATGGCAGTGGGGCAGTCTTACCTTAATTTGTGCGTCATTACCTAGAAGGATGTGTGTATGTACAGTGTACACACACACACTCATTCTTGCACAACAACTTAGAATACAAAACTGTCCAAAAAAGAAAAAGGGCCAAAGGGGGAGCAGGGTTTCACGGCTGTTTCTTTCCGTTTCGTTTTTCCTTTCGTTTCGGGTTAATTGCAAGAAGTCCCCTCAAGGTTTGGTATCTTTTACGGTTTATCCATTAAAGTTTTATTTTTTACTTTATCCCCTTGACTTGTGGTCAAACAAACATTTAATAATGGTACTAATTGTTGATATCAAAAAGACAATGGTATCCCTAAAAAAATTATGGATAGACATAAATACCCATAGGGTCGGTCAAATATAGTACATATTTTTCTTCCTTTATCACAAAGTTTTGGGTTTATCCATGAAATAATCCCATGCATGACGATTCTAGATAAAAGGATTTTCGCATTTCAAATTATTTTTCTAAAAAGTGTAAAACTATAATTAATCTATTGTAAAAATTAAACCTTATAATTTGGATATCTAATAAATCTCCTTTCGAATTTTTTGATGTACAAAATCTTCTGAAGAATGTTATTTTGCCACATCGTAGGTTTTTTGAATTGGTTCTTTCACATGGTGTAGTAAACAACATCTAAAGGAACAGTCAGGAAACGAATTTGAAGAAACTTAGCAACTTTTTTTTTTCTATTTTAGCTGCAAATGTTGCGTATGAAGGGGAGAAATTTGCTTGATGTGATAATGCTCAAAACGTACTAGAGAACTTTTGGGGTTGTCTCTTCATAGAACATTAAGAGGGCCATTTTTATCAGAAATTTTAATGATTAAAATAGGGGTATTTTCTGCAACTATAATGTTTAAAGGTCCATTTGTTGATGTAGACTGATGGGGGGAAAAAGTGAAAAAAAATAAAATGTTAGATGGTAAACTGCGAAATACATCAAACTTTATCGGGATTTCTTGTGATTCAACCTTTTCGTTTCGTTTCCCTTCTTGTCTTGTCTGCCTGCCTCATTATCCAAATCCCAACAAGAAGACATACGTTACTCCTCCTCCTCCACCGTCAACACTAGAGCAGTAGCAGAAGCAGCTTCAAAACCCCACAACATGGTAACGCTTCTCCCCTTGTCCCTGTCTATACATGTATCAACTTTGTCCCTATGTTCTCCAATTTGTTTTTTGGTGCATAAATTTTTCTTTTTAATTGCATACCATGCAGGCAACCATTTTTCATGAATCATTAGCCAGCCACCCTGATTAAATTCTTTCATTTTATCAATTGGCTGAGCACGATCCTTTTCCCCAAATCTTTTTTTTTCTTCTTCAATGAGTACCATCTTTCCTTTAGTAGGCGACTTAAGCAAATGTGGTTTTACGCACATAGATACAGCTCTCTCTGGCGATGGCTTCCCCAGAATCCAGGGGTTTAGCCTATCATTTTTTTTTTCAAAACATTAGTTGCGGTCTCACCAGCCTCCAAGAATTATATTCCTCATCTGGATTTCTCGCTTTTTTTTCCTCAACATTATATTTGTTCGTGTTTTGGTTTATCAGGAAGGTGAAGATATAGAATCAGTGAACATTAATTAGATCATTAACCAGGCTCACCGCTCGTTGACTGGGATTTTGTCTATTAGTTCCATTGGCCATCAATGCATGCAAGTGAGAAAATGGGCTAAAAGGGCCTGGCTTGAATTGTTTTGCTCGTAAACAAGCCAAAAAATAACGGTTCGATGGATTTCTTGCAGACAACATCCAAACGTCTGTCTGAGCGGAAGATCGCAAAGTTTGAGAAGAACATAACCCGTAGAGGACTCACTTTTTCCAGCAAGAAAGCATTTGAACCTGCACACATTGTCCTCTTGCTCTTTGCTGTTTTGGTCGTTGGATCATGTAATTGACTTCCCTCGTCTTCGGCTTGTTTACTATGTAGCGTAGTGATCCTTTTGACATGTGTATATCGACGCATATTTCCCCTTAATTGATGCTTGTCGGCCTATGCAGCAATAATGCTACATTTTGATGTGTGGTATGGTCTGATAGTTACATGCTCTTAGAGTCGTTTAATATTAATATTACCATTCCTAATCCATCACAACTAGCATGCTGAAAAATATACCACATGTCATACAGTTTATTGGAATTTAAAAGCCAATTAACAGGGAGCCGGATATAATACCTAAAAAGTTTCTTGGCATTGAATCTAGCATGCTGGAAAACATGGCAAGGCAATATCCTTGATTGGGTTTTTGCTGATCATTGGCGTTATCCTTAATATACTTCTCTTTTACGAATGAAGATGTCATGACATGCGCTTGCCTAAGTTTTCATTCTAATCAATTGCTTTCTTGTGGTTATTGGGGTGGGTGAAGGGGTTGTTGGACGATATTCTACGTTGATTAATCTCAACTTAATTTGCAACTTACTTATGCTGCTCTTAACGTGAGTTGCTTCTCTTTTTCTTTTGCCACTGTGGATGTGGCCTCCTGACTTCGCATGAACTTGTTAGTCCTTTTCCTCTCAACTCCAGTGTCTCTCCTGTCAAGTGTCGTGTCTTTGTTTTGATAGTGGCTGCTTCATTAGTTACTTAGGAGATACTGAAGATTCAGATCTCGCTTTATTTTTGCCGCAGTTTTTTGGCATTTTGCTAGTTCTAATCTAAAACTTTCTGCCAACACTTCCCAAATTGAAAAGCTAATGAGTTTTCTGCAGTTATGTTTGCTTTTTCTAGTCTGATATGCATTCTGTCCAGCAGTTATTTTGTTCAAACTTTTTCTTTTTCTTGGCAGTTATTTTTCAGGTTGTCAGGATGGCGCTTAAAGGTGAAGCACCTTGAGGAACTAAAGACGATTTATCAAGAACTGCTGCCTATAGCTCATGTCAATATGTACCAAATGAAAAGAATGCAAATTGTTGAAAACTAAAGAACTAATTACGTCCAAATTCAAATAAAAAGGTGGCGCTTTGTAGTACAATTATTTTTTGGTTGTTCCTTTTAAGATCATAGATCTTCACTTGCACCTTGGCTTGGGGATCTCTTTTGGCCATTCTAAATCACCTGGGAAGTAATTATTCTTGCTTTCAGTTAATTATATTCTTTAATTCCAACTTAGGACAGAATTTCCACGACTAATGACAAAACAGGAAAAAGCAAGCAATCACAACCTCAACCTAAAACTTGCCTATGATGTCTTTCTTCTAAATTCATGCCCTCCACCAATCATCCATAACTTAAACTGGAATTCGAGATGCATATCCGTGAAATGGAGGGTCAATATGAACATTTTTAAGAGAAAATTTGCCAAGTGAGCTTCCAGCTGCAGGAATGATATCAAAATCATTACTTCTCCCAGAACCCACATTTTAAGCTGATGATGAGCTCATTTCTATCTTTAGTACTGTCCAGATAACATCATACTTGAACTTTATTTTCCTTTTTTATTGTTGGGGTGGGGGAGGGGGTGTAGTTGAAGGTTCAGATACCTACTAAGTAAAGTACCTTCAGATTAGGAAAATTTTGGGTAATATAGGTCACTTTGTGTTCGCAGACATAAAGCAGGCTTGCAATTTTAGAATTTACATGCGCATATTTGACCTTATAAGTTTAAGAACATAAAGATAAACAACACATTGGCATTGCTGGAAGGACAACGATAAAATGTAAAATGGAGAAGTATCATTCATGCTTCAAAAAGTGTATGATGCATCCATTTCCCATGGTTGCACTTCCTTTCATCAGTTCTCATGTGCATGAAGCGAACTGCTTCCTGTCCTTAAGGCAAGAATCTGAACTCTGACAAGATAGAACTCTTTGGCAGTATTGGAAGGATGATGGTGGAGTCTAAGATGAGCAAAATCTTTCATGCTTCAGAAAAGTTTATGATGCATCTGCTTGCCATCAGATCTGCGTGCTGCTGGGGCAGAAGTGCTTGATGTCTTTGAACATTGGCAACAGTCTGAACTCTTTGATAATTTTTGTGTGCAAGAATTGAAGCCAGACTCATGGCCAATTTTCAAATTCTTTCTAAACAAACCTTCATCATCTGGGAAGTCAAGCTTCTCAAACTCCTGTAGAAAATATACTTATTTGTTCAGATAGTGTAACATGTTTTACTCACTCCGAAGGGATTTATGTGCTAATACCAGATAAAACAAGTGCCAGAAGATTTTAATATCTGCTAATGTACTTACCATGGACTTTGTTTTGTAGTAGGGAGTTAGGCAGGGATTCAGATCTTTGAGAAACATGTCATCTGGACTGCCGGGTGCTGTATGATCACCAGAACTGAACTCCTGATCATATTGCAGAATATATAAAGTAACTGCTTCATGAATAGGTAGAAGAAAAAGATAACTCAAAATAGACATCCCGAATTTGAAGTGTGAACAATCCTTTACAAAGTTGAACAAGCTGAACTCTCGATCGTAGTGCAGATAGATAGCATAACTACTTCAGCAGTACAGTTGAATAAACAGAAGGAAAAATGAATGCAATGAACTCCTGATCATATTGCAGATTGATGGCATAACTACTTCAGTAGTACAGTTGAATAGAAAGAAAGAAAAATGAAAGCAATGATACAGTGTTGCATGTTACTACCATCAGCGCTCAGAGTGTGATATACATCCCTCGTACATCCTCTACCATATAGTGCAAGATATTCTGCTTTCATGACTCAAGATAGAATTACTTTGTTTCTCTCAAGACAAATTAACATGCAATGAACTACCATCAGATTTTATAGATCACTCAAATGATGATGCACAAGTATACTGGTTAACTGATAATTGGTCAACACAATCATCAATCTTGGTTTCATATATATATAAACATATAAATATATATATATATATATATATATATATATATATCTGTTTGGAATGATGTTCTAACCAGGGAATTAGTTGCCTCTTCGTGCTCATATGTTGGAGTCCTTGGAGAGCTATGATTATCAAAGCAGCCCTCACTGAGCACTTGTCTGCCTTGACCTGTGCATATCACCAAGTGAGTGTTAAATTAACACTCATAAAGCCAAGTGCAGCACTCAAAACCCAGACTATAACACTAGCAAGGACCACCCATAAGGATGAGAACTAAAGTAAATCCTGAAACATACTGAACATGTGGGTTGGCTTTATCTGGATAGGTCATTTACTTACTTATAATCATTAACTACCATATAGTCGTAAATCTTAGATTACCGGACATATGCAGTTTAGGTTGCTTCCCAAAGTAATTCTTTCCATTTAGACAAGCACAGTTGTAAAGTTTCCTCCCATATTGGTAATATGAACTTTCATCCCAAAGCAAAGCACCTTTTCCTTTTCATAAGATTACAATTCTTCCCACTTATTTTCTACATTCTGCGTGTGGCACATAAACATTGTTGTGTAAAATTAGCAATACTGCAGCATCAGCCTAACCTGAATCATACAAGAATATGAGTGTTACCTCTGCAAGACCCTCAGCAAGGCACTGTAGTTGCCCTGTAAGAGAAGTGACCTGCCTCTGCAAACCAGGGATAAGTTGTTTCGCCTCCTTTAGTTCTGAACCTTGTTTAGCCAGGAGCTCCTGCAGTTGTGAGTTCATCACATCTGGAAACAGAATCGCACTTTTCAGGGACTTTATCTCTTCCCTTTGCTTCAAGCACAAATCCTTCAGCTTTTCAACCTATAAAATTAGCCATTAGTAACAAATGCCCAGATATGGCTCACCCGCAAATCCTCAATTTTGAGCTCAGCTGTCGAGAAATAAAGCTTGAAAATGATTAAACACCACCACCACACCACCACCACCCAATATGAAACAAAATCAATACAAAAGAATAGTCTGTGGTTGTCGGGTCCCAATCTAGAACTGTATTAATCTACAATAGTCAATTCAGAAAGGCCAGATCGAATTTTTGGTATAAAGTACCAACAGTTTGATGAAAATAACTGTAGAAAGTCTTTACTTTTATGGTTGACTTATCCAATAATCATTTCATGAATGACAATTTCTAACTTTCCAGCAGAGCCCATATCTTAATCCCATTTGTTTTTTCGAACCTTCAGAATTTGCAGTGATGACAAAACTCCTTGATACTACTACTACTACTAAACTCCTTGATACTACTACTAAAAGTTTCCCACTTCATGTGAAACTCACGATACAGCATACAAGGCTGCCATTCGTTCTGAAACACATAACAGAGTAGCATTTAACCACAACCCAACAGTATTAAGAACTTTACCCAACTAAAGTTCAGCCATTTGCCGCAAAGATCACATTTTTTTAATCCAAAAATTCCCACTGTGTGCACAGACTTTAGACATAGAAAATCATCCGAAAGAGTTAGTACTAGTTAAGAGAGAGAGAGAGAGATTAATGATTGCCGTTATACCTCTCTGTTTTTGTCCTCGAGCATGAGCTTAAGCTCAGAAATCTGATTTTCCTGGTCTTTGTTCAAACTCAAGAGCTCCCTTTCACTCCTCAAAACCATGGCAAGAGTTCTGGTATTCCCTTTGACCTCAGTCAAGGCCTTCCTCTCGTTCAAGATCTTGCTCTCCTCGTTATTCCTCTTCCCCCTTTGAACAACTTGTTCTGGAGAGCAGAGAGAGGGGTTGCCTTTTTGGCGGATGCGGGGGTTTTTTTGAGATCCTCAGCTAGGAATTCCGCAGCAATTGTCAGCTTGAGAGGTTCGTTGGTAGCAGAAGCCTTGCGGGATAATTTTCTGGAGGAAGAAGAAGAGTGGGCGGATTTTGTTTCCATAAATTTCTTGACCATAGAGGTGAAGTTGTGGTGGTGGTGGTGGGTGGAGCGGGCATTCTTGGTCTTGACGAGGGCCCGTGAGGAGGAAGGTGGAGTATGATTACTAGCGAGGAACAGGGTGTCAGTGGAGGAAGAGGGGTCGGATTTAGCGGAGGATCTGGGGCTGGAGGAGGAGGAAAGGAAGGAAGAGGAGGGAGTGTTGTAGCGGGAGGATGGCTGCTGCTTCAATGAACCCATTGTTGGGGGTTTGATTGTCTCTGTATGTGTGTGTGGAGTGAGTGACTGAGTGTGTGTAATGTTTTTGAATGGAATCTGTTTTTTTGTTTTCCGAGGAAAGGATCCTTCTCTTCTTTCTTTCTTGCCTTTTCTGAGATGTGAACGGAGGATGGGTTGGCGACGGCCGAGACTTTGGCGCTGTCTGTCTGTATGAAATTCAAATTTTCAGCGGGCATGCGCTCCTGCTACCCTCCTCACATAATTCATGGTAGTAGGTATTTGTCGTATTTGGTCTTTTCTGCTGCTTTTTAATTCTACTTTTTGGTTTTGGGGTCTGCATTTTAAACTTAGCGACACCAAGCCCCTCTCCCTCCTTCTCACCCCAAAAAAAAAAAAAAAGATTCTTAATATGGCACCGAATTCAACAATCCCAAAACGATTATTTAAAATAATCGCTGTTGGTGACACTTTTTATAATGTGATAGTACATGTAAAATGAAAAGATGATTGTAAAGATAAAAAGTTAATTGAAAATTGTATTTGTGATATTTTGCTAGCCAAACATTAGCTGAGAGCATGTTTGGATAAAATATTATTTAGAATAATTATGATAATACTTTTTTCTTTTATAGTGTGATATATGCGAGATATAAAAATAGTTGAAAAGATGAAAAAATGATTGAAAAATATATTTATAATGCAAGCTAAATAATTTTTGAAAAAAGGTATCGGAACTTTCTTCTATTTGTGTGCCTATAAGCCCATTTAAAAGGTAAGCGGATCAATTGTTGATACTTTAAAATTATGGATAATATTGGAAACTTTCCATGAGATTTTTTTTATCAATATCATTTAACACCTCTAAACTCCTAGAAAAACTCACCTTCCTATCATAATTCAACTTTTTTAGTAACACATTTAGTCCAGGGGGTTTGTTTGGATTGTAAATTATTTGAGATATTTTTACTGTTGCACTTTTTGTGATGTGATGTATATGAGATAAAAAGATAATTGGGAAGATAAAAAGCTGTATTGGAAATTGTAATGGTGATGTAAGCAAATATATTTGGGGAAATAAGTAAGGTTAAAAAGATCAATTAAGTAGAAAGAACAATTTTCATTTCAAAATTTCACTTTTTTTCTCTTTTTTTTTTTTGTTAGATAGGAGGGCTTTAGACCCATTCTTTTTTTCTCTTTTACTAGCTAATTCATTACCAAAATTCATATTAGGATGAATAAAGGCTTTAATAGTACTAAAAAAATTGCGTAGGTGTTGTTAGTGTGATGCAACAAAATTCAGCAGTAACAGCTATCAAGCACATGTTGCAATAGAAGCACTTATTTATACCATGAAAACTACATACATTAGAAGTTGGAAGTGAAAGAAAGATTGAAACATTAACGAGCAAATTTTGAAATACAAGTGCGTCCTGTTTAAGTTTAAGAGTGAAGTCATACAATTCACTAATATCTTCCAATTTTCAGGAATGAAATTGCGGCTTTAATTGCATGATTATAATAAAAAGTTTCTTTAGGCAAACAAAAAATAATTAAAAATCAGACTCATTCTTCTTTTTTTTTTGTCAACCCAGGGAGTATCCCAATTTTACCAGACTAATCTCCCTGGATCTGGAGTACCCCGCCCTCCAAGAGCACTCAGACGATATGTGAAGTCAGACTCGAACTGTGCCCCACGAGAAATACCCCCGGCGATTCACCGGCTGAGCTGACCCCGAGAGGCGTAGACTCATTCCAGTAATATGAAAAACAATGAAACAATTAAAGTGAATAGTTTGAACTTTGAACAACTATGGTAGGTAGATTCACGCAAAAAACAATAATATTGCACTTTTAAACATACAGGTTCCTAAATTATTTTACTTTTTTTTTTGAAAAGTATGAAACAAATATGCCAAGCTTCTTTTTTTAAAAAAAAATTTTAAAAATATTTCCAAAATAAGCCTAAACTAAGGGGAAAAGTGTCAATTGGTACCTTGTTGATTTTGACTTTTGAGTAATTGGGAAGGTGAGTGATATTTCTAAAAGTTTAGAGATGCTAAGTGATATTATGAAAAATACTAGGGGAGGTTTGTGAAACTATCCCTAAAAATTGCTTGCAGTACTGGACCATTTCCAAAAGAGACAAGCCTCATCAATAAATGGAATTTAGTGCCTCATCAATAAATGGAATTTAGTGATTCGATTACGACGCGTGGGGGTGCGTGTGGTTGCTAAATAGACTACGGTGGCAAGCCAGCCAAACTCCAAAGCCGAGCGTGTCTGTGTGTTTGCAAGCAATACTGGCTCCGTTTGGATTAGCTGTTTTTGGGAGTGTTTTTGAAAAACTTTGATGTAGTAGAGTTTTTAGAGTATATTTTGAAATATTTTTTATTGGCACTTTATTATGAGATATTTGATAAAATTTTAAAAAAATTTAAACTAATTTTTAGATTATCTTTTAGAGTACTTTGATGTAATTTTTATTGTATTTGAAAAACTAATTTTTGAAAAATACTCAAAAAACAGGAGATCCTCATTGTAAATACATCAGTGAACAGGAGTAATTCTAAGTTGGTGCAGTAATTATTTAGTCCCGTGACCATCCCATCCCGTAATAAGATTATTTAGACGATGAATTACTACTGAGATTGCACCTCAAATACACACGGAAAATCTAACTACGCCGCTACTCAAAATGGAATACGAGGAATAGCAACCAAAGACAAGCCATTCTTCAATTTAACGGTGGCACCGAAGTCCTCAAGTCATGTCGAGGGATTCTGGTTTTGCTCCCCGGGGAGTTTCCAGTCGAAGTGGGAGACCAGTTGAGCCAGAGCAAGATCCACGCTGGCCACCCCAAATGCAATTCCAGGGCATATCCTTCTTCCTCCTCCAAATGGTAGATACTCGAAGTTGGATCCCACGAACTCGATTCCATTATCCAGAAATCTCTCCGGCTTAAAACTTTCAGGATCCTCCCAAAACTCAGGATCCCTGTTGATCGCCCAACCATCGATCAAGACTCTCGTTCCGACTGATACGTCATAGCCCCCAGTTTCACACGGCTCCCTGCATTCTCTGGGAAGTAGCAAGGGCACTGGTGGGTGCAGCCTCAGTGTTTCTTTTATCACCGCCTTTAAATAATTCAGTCCCTTAAAATCATGCTCTTTCCGTTTACCACCTTTCTTACTTCAGCTTGTGCCCTTTCCATCACGCTAGGATTTCTTATCAACTCTGCATTACCCACAGAACTGTTGCTGCCGACGTATCGGTTCCTGCTGCGAACATGTCCTGTAATTTGCAATCAAGTTATCAAACTGCAGAACGTTTTTTCTATATAAAAAATATCGTTCGCTTAAAGTACCCTGCGGATTTCAAATCGTATACGGTACTAATACCGATTGCATATGGAGTAGTTTGTTTATATATATGGACGATCAACAATTACGTAGTAGAAGCATGTATACTAGTAGTAGTATTATTATTATTATAGTAGCATTAGCGAGTTGGCCAGTTTATTAATATATATTTTTTTTTACCACAAAGACTGCTTTGATGCATTCGGCTGTTAAGGGAAAATCAAGGCCCCCTCTTGCACTGATCTTCAATAGAGTGTTTACTAGATCTACCTCCCCTGAATCTGCCTCTTTGTGCTCCTGGATTTTGCTTTCAAATATGGGGTCGAGCTTGGACTGAAGCTTTTTGATCTTGAAAACTGTCCCGCTAATGATATGGAGAAATTTCTTTGAGGGGACCAAATCAGAAATGTCAAAACCACTGGACACCTCTATTATCTCATTTATGAGCTGTACCAACTGATCTTGGTACGTGCATCTGGAGCCGAAAGCTGATCTACAAGTGACCGCATTGGTGAGGGCAAAGACCAAGTCAGTGAGGTTAACCGGCAGTGACCTGGATCAGGATGACTGGATGGAGCCGATCATTTTCCAAACCTCATCCTCCCGAATGGCCTGCGTTGCTCGAACATTTTGAGGGCTGAGGAGCTCTAGGACACATTTTACGCATTTGTCTCCAGTAACCCCCGTAGGGAGAGAATGAAACGTCCTGGAAATTATAGGTGATGGTTTGTGCCGCTAGAATTCTGGGACGGTTTACTAGAGCAACATCGTGAGTTTTCAGGGCCTCTTTGGCCATTTGGGCACTCGAGATGACAACTGTAGATACCTCACCACGCTGCAAGTGCATGACCTGTCCATGTTTCTTGGCTAGGTCTGTGAGAGCTCGATGCGGTTGTGAACCTGACAACTGGTGTATGTTTCCGATGATGGGTAAAGTCTTTGGTCCTGGGGGCAATTTTGGATAAGCCGATCTTGTTTTGGAGAGTTTGCGAAGTAAAAGGACTAGATGGATGAAACGGATGAAAGATGATGTCGAAGTAATTGGCTCCATTTTGCCCAGAAGGGAATATGCATGCAAAGGATGATGTGAAAGTGAGACGTTACCCTTCCCCTACTTTTATACTCCTGCATGAGGACGAGAACCATACCATGCTGTAATGAAGACGGCTTTGAAGAAGAACCCTTTGAATCCTTCAAGTTTTTGGACTCTTCTTGCAGCAGAAATGTTACGCAAATGCAAAGTTGCTTCTTTGGACTAAGGTGATATTAAATGAAAGGAATATAACTACTGAACTAGGAGACAAATAAGTAACACATCACTACTGAACTGATGCAGCGAATGGATCCTCTTTGTTACTGTTTTGTGGATAATCTGATTCTTCTCTTTCCTTATTTGGTAAAATGGCGGGTGATCTGATCTCATGTTGATTGCTCAGTCAATAAAGCTTTGTCGAAGTTTGGAATGACAAGTACTTGCTAGTCTCTAATTGGATACGGGAGAATTGAACCTCCATCCAAGTACACCAGCAAGAAATTTTTTTTGAATGATCGACGAAAAGCCGCTTGCACTAGGAGACAAATAAGTCTTGAACTTTTAGCATCGAAAATATGGCAGCGCAGCGAAGACTTCTTGACGCAATGACCCAATGCATATAATTATTGTAATTATTTTTCCATGAGAAAAAACCGGTTGATGATCAAATCAAACAAAGTCGAACTAGCTAATATTTTCTTCCAAGTCTACCTTCTTTTTATTTCTCTTGAGGGCATTCAAATTTCAGTCGAGTCTCCCAGAATATACTTTATTAAGCCACTTTTTGGAATATTGATGCAAGCATTAAAACATATGGAATCATTGAAAAAGATTGTATATTGATAGTAGTGACAGTGTCCAAATGAAATTAAAACATAGGATGAAGATTTCGTACTTGCATGAAAGAATATATAATGACACAATATATCAATTTGAAATTAATATGCCATTTGCCTGACGATGGACTGAGTTGTTATGAGTAGTCCTACTTGGTATTCAATTCGCTCAATCCTTGACGCGGAAGCAAACCAAAAATGACAAACAATCTTCTTCGATAAAGTCTCAAAGAAATCGAGAAAATTTGAGCCCACTCAAGAACAAAATTTATTTGAGATATGTCATAATACCACTCAATTTCTCTGAAAATTTTAAAATCTCACTTACTTTTTACTGGCAACTTGACAAGTCTAAATATTCCTATCAAATGTCACAAATTGACAATATTACCCTTGCTCTTAATAACTATTTAAGCAAAAATTCAAAACAAAATAAAATTTTTAAACCAAAAATGTTAATTACTATCTCACAATGGTCCATATTCCTTTACATTCGAGGCATGGTGGGATAGCAAAGGAGATGGATAAATTAAATCTAATCAAGGTCAGCCTTTTAGGAGGATTTTGGTAAGTAATTAACACCTTAAAAATTTCATGGACAATTATAATTAAGAAAGTCAAGATTTTTTTTGGAAAATATGTTTTAATACATAATGTAGTTTAAGTTGTATTGAAAACTAAATTATCTTTTCATACATGTGAATTTTTCAAGATGTAAATTTCATTTTTGTTCCAATACAAATAAAATAAAATAATTTAAATCAAGAAATTTACACCTTATAAAAATTTAACCTTATTTTATTTGTTATTATTGTTACAAACTTCATAAGTAGGATAACATAAGGGTAATATTGGAACAAAAGTTTTATCTTTCTTGTATTTCCTCCAATGGGATTAAAATGTTACAAGAAATGACAATTCAAGGGAGGTAAGTGAGATTTTAAAAATCTTAGAAAAACTGGGTGATATTATGAGAAACCTCACGAGAGTTTTCTGAAATTTCAAAAACACCCCGTATTTCTATCTTTTATATTTCAAAAGTTGAAGGCTCAAATTTGAGGCACATCAGGATCAGGCCAAGCCCACTTGCGTCATCAACAGTTGGGAGTTGGGACCCAACAACAGTGGACAAACCCGACCTGGCCTGGGTCGATCGGATAAGGCTGTTATGAAGTCACAGTCATCCACGTCAGAAAAGTATCAGTCGGATTACTACTTTTTTTTTTTTTTGGTCAAAAAGTCGAATTACTACTTACTGGCCTATTAGAAGCGTCATCTTTTGTTGACCAAGAGGACTTTCTACATAGTTTGTCGGTCCAGGAGTGGAGGAGACTGCTATTTCCCGCAAGTACTTTGGTTGCCTTTCTGGCATGGTCAATGCGCCTCGATCTCAATGGTTAACGCCTCTTTGGGTAAAATAATGGACTCCACTTTTCATCTCCAATTTCAAACAACGCCAGTTAAGTTTTTCCTTTTTTGGTAAAAAACAACGCTAGTTTTTGAATGTATTGAATTTGCAAAAACGTATTAGCATTATTATCTTTAGAAGAATAGTCAACAAAGCCATGCTCCGCTCTTCCTCGTTCACAAAATTCTATGACTTACTAATATTGGAGGAGTCTTCTTCCTTCGAATATTTAACTGCCAGGGACTTGACAACGTTCCTCTCTGTGCCTGTTACTGCGATCAACGGAACCATTCACTGCCTAAGCGTTTGGAAAGAAATTAAAAGAAGTGTTGAATTCATTCTATATCTTTTGGATCCACTCTCAAAAAAAATCACTTAATATCTAAATATGCTAATGCGATTCAGCTTATTTGTTGAATTTGAAATTGCTACAGTATAGCGATTTGATATATGTGATATAAAAGGTAATTGAAAAATGTGTTTACGAAAAATATAAAAAATTTTATACAAAAGGCAATCCGCAGTAATATGATCTAATGATAGAGAAAGGAATGAAAAAACGGAGAACTTTTACTCGTTTCTATATAGTAAATAAAAACTTTTATTAGCTATCTTAATCCACACTTGTCCTTCATGATTTTCTTTTTTTTTTTTTGAAGCAATGATTTTCATTATTCTTTTTTTTGTCAAACGGCATTGAATGATTTTTGTTATTCAATTGACCAATTTTTTATTTGGGATAATTTCATATGAGGTTTCTGTTAGTTTCATTGTTCTCTCCTGAGATTTTAAAAATATCACTAACTTCCCTCAAAACCAATTTTCTTGTAACAATTGAGCCCTATTCAAAAAAAAAAAAACAATAAAAAATAATTTCAGGTGTGAGAATATTTATTTATGCCAAAAGTGCCCCTCAACTATTATACCAGTAAGATTGAATATTTGATCTAACTTGTTAATTTATTTATGGGCCATTACAAAAAATGGTCAATAAAAAATTTCCATCATTCATAACAAAATATAACTTTCAAATTTTAACAAAACAATTTTTTTCCATACCTTAAGGTTCTTGCTATCACCACAATTATAAGAAAAATTAATTCAACTGAAATCTGTTTATATTTGATTTCTTTTATTTATCAAGTACATAAATTGGAAAAAGGATGCCTAGTATTGGATCCATTTTTAGATGCCAAATTAGATTCTCTTTTTTACATTTCAAATCATGGTTAATTTAGTTTGTAAACATCTTAATTATTTCTCATGTCTAAATCCTTTAATTTATCAACTATATTATGTCTGATTTTTTTATTGGTCAAGTATATAAAAATTTAAAAATATGAACCTAATATATGGTTCTATTTTTAGATGGTAAATTAATTAACTTTTTACAATCCAAATTATGGTTAATGTAGTTAGCAAACATTTAACTTTTTTCCTTTACATATATTTGTAATTATCCTAAATTATAAGTGTAATAAAGTCATTTAATCCATTAGTGATGTAAGTGTTGAACTCCAAATGACTGGTAGGAAAGGTAAGTAAAACTTTTAAAATGTCAAAAAAGGACAGTGAAATTGTTAGAAACCTCTCTTGAGGTTTCTGAAATTATCCCTATTTATTTTTTCATACCACCAAACCACTAGGCATGGAGACATTTGCCGTCTAGTAGTTTCTTTTCTTTTTCCCCAAAATAGCAAAATTTTATATATGAGAAAGCTAGTCAAGGGGATAGCCTACCATACAAAACTTAGGCCCCGTTTGACAAGTGAGTTTTTTGGATGTTTATCTAAAATTTTACTGTAACTTACTATAGAAGTTTTTTAAAAAAATTTTAAAGTGTGTAAATTTTTTAATATTTTGAAGTGTATAGTTTATAAACTTTAAAAAGTTTTTTGAGATTACTGTAACTAAATAAAGTTTTTAAAAAACTTGTAGCAGACAAACTTGGCAAAAAACTCAAGTGTCAAATAGGGCCTTAGAACGTGAATTAACTAATGCATTAAAATAAAAAAATTTGTTTAAATCGTCCATTATATTTTGCAAAATGAAATTTTTTTGTGCTTCATTTTTAAAATATTAATTTTATATTTCTTACAAGTTCAAGTTAGCGAAATTTTATCCCAATCAATTTTGACCATTATTTAGCTTGAAATCACTATATGATGCACATGTAGTCATTTTTATGTATGAATTAGATTAGATCCCATTTTTAGGAGAAAAATAAATATAATTTTAGATCTGATCCTTCTTTTTAAGGGCAAAAATAATTATAAATTGGTTCATTTATTTAACAACAAATAAGATCTTACCTTTTTCCCCAAAAAATGATCATGTTTGGGTTATATGATGAATGTAGAGCAAAAAGTAGTCAAAAATTTATGTTGGAACTAAATTTTATAATTTAAATTTGTAAGAGACATAAAATTATTTTTTTAAGAGTGAAGGACGAAAAAATTCATTTAGCAAAATATAAAAAACATTTTAACAATTTTCCCAAATGAAAACTAGAGTAACTAGAGCACAAAAGACTCAATAGTAAAATACTAGTAACGAACAAAGCAACTAAGTAAATATCTTCTGGCCCGGGAACTTGCACTTGATACACTGCTACATCTCCCAATTCCTCCTGGTCCTCTCCACATTGCGCCAACTGAGAGCATCTCTACGAGCTGCAAGATGAACCAAAAACTTAAAGGACTAGAAACAGAAAAAAAAAAAAAAAAAGAGTTCAGGTCCTCATCCTTCGATTACAACTTCACGACATAAATTTT